TACGTCAATACGTGAGGTAATACGACTGTCATAAATACCATCATGAATTAATCAATGGGGCGAGGAAGACAATATGGGGGAAGGATGACACCTGGACGATGACCCCCCCTCCCCTCCCTTCCTGGACCTATGGGGTGATGGGGGTGATGGGGAGGGAAGGAATATGGAGGAGGAAGAGGTAGAAGAAGTGCTTGGGAGGAGAAGAAGAGGAGGAGGAGGAAGAAGAGGGAGGAGGAGGAAGAGGGAGGAGGAGGAAGAGGAAGGGGAGGAAGAGGAAGAAGAAGAAGGAGGAGAAGGTGTGAAGGTGTCAGCATGAGGATGTTATTATATTAGCGTCAAGCTTTAGGAAACATCACCAAACATCACCACATAAGCTTAGTGGGAAGGTAGTGGGAGAGAGACGGGGTAGGTAATGAGTCCTCTCTCACCAAACATCTCTACCCCTCACCAAACATCATTATCTCTCACCAAACATCATTATCTCTCACCAAACATCATTATCTCACACCAAACATCATTATCTCACACCAAACATCATTATCTCTCACCAAACATCATTATCTCTCACCAAACATCATTATCTCACACCAAACATCATTATCTCACACCAAACATCATTATCTCTCACCAAACATCATTATCTCACACCAAACATCATTATCTCTCACCAAACATCATTATCTCTCACCAAACATCATTATCTCACACCAAACATCATTATCTCACACCAAACATCATTATCTCACACCAAACATCATTATCTCACACCAAACATCATTATCTCACAACAAACATCATTATCTCACACCAAACATCATTATCTCACACCAAACATCATCTCACCAAACATCATTATCTCACACCAAACATTACCAAACATCATTATCTCACACCAAACATCATTATCTCACACCAAACATCATTATCTCACACCAAACATCATTATCTCTCACCAAACATCATTATCTCACACCAAACATCATTATCTCACACCAAACATCATTATCTCACACCAAACATCATTATCACCAAACATCATTATCTCACACCAAACATCATTATCTCTACACTCAAACATCATTATCTCACACCAAACATCATTATCTCACACCAAACATCATTATCTCACCAAACATCATTATCTCACACCAAACATCATTATCTCACACCAAACATCATTATCTCACACCAAACATCATTATCTCACACCAAACATCATTATCTCTCACCAAACATCATTATCTCACACCAAACATCATTATCTCTCACCAAACATCATTATCTCACACCAAACATCATTATCTCACACCAAACATCATTATCTCTCACCAAACATCTTTTTATCTCTCACCAAACATCTCTATCTCTCACCAAACATCATTATCTCTCACATCAAACATCATTATCTCTCACCAAACATCATTATCTCTCACACCAAACATCGTAAAACATCACTACATCGGTTGCATCCACGAACATAACAAACACCCCCCCCCCCATCCTCATCAAACACTACAGGTAACCTATTACAGGAGTGACTGTAAATAAGGCTTCTTTCAGTATCTTTTGTAACTGGGTTCATCTCTTCGCTGTATCCGTCACTGTAACTGTATCTCTTCGCTGTATCCGTCACTGTAACTGTCTCTCTTCACTGTAACTGTATCGCTTCGCTGTATCCGTCACTGTAACTGTATCGCTTCGCTGTATCCGTCACTGTAACTGTATCTCTTCACTGTATCTGTCACTGTAACTGTATCTCTTCACTGTTTCCGTCATTGTGCTCTGTTGTCTGAGTGAGTCATTAACTTTGTAATGTTAAGTAAGTTGTGTGATTGGATTTTATTTAACTAAAGTCTAGTTTTATTAAATGTTGGAGGACGTAGGATGTATTGAGGGGAGGGAGGGAGGGAGGAGGGAGGGGAGGGGAGGAGGGAGGGAGAGGAGGGAGGGAGGGAGGGAGGGAGAGGAGGGGGGGAGGGAGGGAGGGAGAGGGAGGGAGAGTGGAGGGAGGGAGAGGAGGAGGGGGGAGGGAGGAGAGTGGAGGGAGGGAGGGAGGGAGGGGGGAGAGTGAAGGGGTGTGAGGAAGGTATGGTAGGAAGGGAGGGGTGACGATGGGAGAGGGAAGGTGTGAGGAAGGTGAGGAATGAGTTACCACACCTTGGCCTCCTGACAGGTGTGGTGAGGACAGGTGACCACTAGGTACTTACTGAACAAACTCCTTAATAATATAACACCCCTTTATTACAGGCACCCACACACACACACACACACACACACACAAACACACAAACACACACACACACTTACAAACACACACACACACACTTACAAAAAACAAGAGACAAACAAGTCCTCCAAATCCTGCCAATAACCAATACCCAACACCTCACCTTATCCAAAAAACGCCACCGGCACCTCATAACGGGGACACACACACACACACACACGATGTCTCCCTGACCACGTGAGGTCCTTCAATATCAACACCTGAGGACGAGTTACTACACCACGTGAACACCACACCACCTGATGTCTCCCTGACCACGTGAGGTCCGGGCCATCAACTGTAAACTATAATAATTAGTATGTTCCATTCATGTTCCTTCTTCTTTTAGTAATGAAAGCTTTCGTTAAACGACCCACCCACCCCATGTCTTTGCATGTAATAAGTCATTTTTGTCCAATGTATATTTTCAGGTTCGGGCTGCAGAACTTTTTCAATAAACCGTTAATTATTATTATTATTATTATTACACACACACACACACACACACACACACACACCCACCCACACACCCACACACACACACACACACACACACACACACACACAATTATATGGAAAAAGTCACATTCCTTCCCTAGGTGAGGGTGAGTAGGGGCGTGAGTACTAAGAGAGGAAGAGGAAGTAGGAGGAGGCTAAGAAGATGGAGAGGAGGAGGAATTGAGGAAGATGAGGGAGGAATTGAGGAAACGAGGAAAAGTGAAGGAGGGTGGGGGAGAAATGGGACAAGGAAGAGAGGATGGAGTAATGAAAGGAAAACGGAGGGAGGGAGATCTAGGGAGGAAGGGAAAGGGAAAGGGAGAGGGAGAGGGAGAGGGAGAGAGAGAGAGAGAGAGAGAGAGAGAGAGAGAGAGAGAGAGAGAGAGAGGAAAGGGGGTGCAGGAAAAAGGCAAGCAAAGGGTAGGAAGGCAAATGGCGAGGGTACGGGCGGGCGTGTCCCTCGGTGTGGGTGTGTGTGTGGTGGTCGGGACAACACCCTCACCTACCCGCCAGCGGTTGTAAATATCAGGCCAGGTCTAGGTGGACTGTCCGGCCATATACGGGAGGGTGATGAGGCGAGAGGCTGACTGCTTAGGGGTTTGTAGCGTGAGGAGGAGTTGGAGCCTCTTACATTCCTCGCTGGGGTGTTGGCGCCCTTCTAGGTGATTGGCAGGATGAGGGTGCTTGGAGGGGAGGCGTGGAGGCTGCTGAGGTGATAATGTTCTGGGTGGTTTCTTGGAGTAGGGAGGTATGGGTGGTCTGGGAGTGTTGAGAGGTTCTTGGAGGAGGGAGGTGTGGGTGGTCCAGAGTGTTGAGAGGTTCTTGGAGGAGGGAGTGTGGTGGTCTGGGAGTGTTGGAGAGGTTCTGGAGGAGGGAGGTGGGTGGTCTGGGGAGTGTTGAGAGGTTCTTGGAGGAGGAGGTGGGGTGGTCTGGGAGTGTTGAGAGGTTCTGGAGGAGGGGAGGTGTGTGGGTGGTCTGGGAGTGTTGAGAGGTTCTTGGAGGAGGGAGGTATGGGTGGTCTGGGAGTGTGGAGAGGTTCTTGGAGGAGGAGGTGGGTGGTCTGGGAGTATTTGGAGGATGGAATGCTTGATAGGAAGATAAAAGTGTCTGGGAGTCCTTGAAATAGTAGTAAGGATATCTGAAGGATAGATAGGATATTTGGACGAAGGAGGGGGGAAGGAGGGGGAAGGAGGGGGAAGGAGACGAAGGCATTTTCACGGGGTGTTGGCCCTCTTGGTGGCAAGGTGAGAATGCTTGGGGAAAAAGGTGGAGGAGGGAGTGAGGACAGGTGAGGGTCTTCTTACGGAGGGAGGGAGGGGAGGGAGTGGAGGGGGTGTATTTAAAGAGTGGGGAGGTGAGGAAGAGAGACAATCATTGGAGAAAAGGTAGAAGGAATGGAGGAGATGTAGGAGGTATTGGAGGAGGTAGAAGTAATTATAGTATAGTCTGTCTACCATGGAGGAGAAACAACACCTCCAAGGATAATTAAGTCCGTGGAGGAGAGAGAGAGAGAGAGAGAGAGAGAGAGAGAGAGAGAGAGAGAGAGAGAGAGAGAGAGAAAGAGAGAGAGAGAGTTAAATTACCTTACAAGAGGATCAGAATACGTTTATGTTCAGGTGTGGACAACAAGTAACAAACTAGGTGCTGTTGGGTGTTGCTGTGTTATGTTGCTGTGTTGGGTGTTGCTGTGTTGGGTGTTGCTGTGTTGGGTGTTGCTGTGTTGGGTGTTGCTGTGTTGGGTGTTGCTGTGTTGGGTGTTGCTGTGTTGGGTAGTGCTGTGTTGGGTGTTGCTGTGTTGGGTGTTGCTGTGTTAGATTTTTAAAGGGTTAGGTATTTCGGGGATTTAAATATATTGTGTGTCGAAGTGTTGTCGGGGGAGGATAGGAGGAAGAATGGGGAGGAGAGGAGGGTTGGTCGGGGAGAGGAGGGAGGTTAGTCGGGGAGGAGAGGAGGGTTAGTCGGGAGGAGAGGAGGGTTAGTCGGGGGAGGAGAGGAGGGTTAGTGGGGAGGAGGAGAGGGGAGGAGAGGAGGGTTAGTCGGGGGAGGAGAAGAGGGTTAGTCGGGGAGGAGAGGAGGGTTAGTCGGGGAGGAGAGGAGGGTTAGTCGGGGGAGGAGAGGAGGGTTAGTCGGGGAGGAGAGAAGAGTTACTCGAGATGAGGAAAGGAGGCTTAGTCGCGGGGGTTAATGTGTGGGGGGGCAGAGAGGCCTTTAAAACCCACCAACAGGAGATGTAATTTCATCCAACACAGAACCGGGGTAGGTCAGGCTGAGGTAGGTCGGACTGAGGCAGGTCGAGCTGAGGGTGGTCGGGCTGAGGTAGGTCGAGCTGAGGTAGGTCGGCCGGAGGTAGGTCGGACTGAGGTAGGTCGAGCTGAGGGAGGGCCGGCTGAGGAATGAGCTGAGGGTAGGTCGGGCTGAGGTGAGCGGACTGAGGGTAGGTCGGACTGAGGTAGGTCGAGCTGAGGGTAGTCAGGCTAAGGTAGGTCTGGACTGAGGTAGGTCGAGCTGAGGTAGGTCGGACTGAGGTAGGTCGAGCTGAGGGTAGGTCGGGCTTGGAGGTAGGTCGACTGAGCTGTCTAGAGCCAAAGAAACGTTGAGTCTTTAACTTAGATAGATAGATAGATAAGATAGATAGATAGATAGATAGATAGATAGATCAACTCAAACATTTACCACAGACAGATATCTTTTTAAAGTTCTCTCTCTCTCTCTTCTGGGTTACGGTCAGAGGCGAGACGGACTTGAAGATTTATGGCAGATGTCCATTAGAGGCTTAAGTGAAGGTTAACCTGGAGTTTGGGGGGCTCGAGTCCAACCCTCCAACCTGACCCTCGAGTAAGGTGACTTCAATGTCTTCTGATCTGTTTGATGATTGAGAAAAAGAGGTGGAGAGAGAGAGAGAGAGAGAGAGAGAGAGAGAGAGAGAGAGAGAGAGAGAGAGAGAGAGAGAGAGAGAGAGAGAGAGAGAGAGAGACACTCAGGTTAGGGCGTTTAGTGTGCGTGAGGATGCAGGTGACAGGTAAGCTATAGTGTTCACTTGAGAGCCGCTGAGGCAACAGTTTCTCCAGCACCCTGCAAGAGGAGACAACAAGGCCCTTCATCCCTACCACAGGAGGTCCCCCCCCCAAGAGAAGTCACCAGGGGGCCCTTCAACCCTCCTACCCCTCCACTCCCACCCCTCCACACCTACCCCTCCACTCCTCACCACCTATTTCTCCACTCCTGGTCTATAGGAAGCCCACTGAGAGAGTTAGTGAGGAATAATTGTCATCTCCTGCAGAAGGTGTCCTCATTCTGAAGGGGGATTCTCGAACGCCAAAGGGCTCTTGAGTGCCCTGCTCTGCGTAGTGAAGTACCTGACGATTGGGCAGGAGGAGGAGGTGGGGTGGGGGGGGAGAAGTCGAGTCTCTACTGAAGAAGGAGGAGCTCTGACGTTACATATTACACGACTTGAGGGAGATTTTTGTAATACAACCTGAGTGATTAGCAGCTACGGCTCTCCTCCTCGGGTTCAGATAGTCGATAATCACACACCAGGAACAGATGATGGTGTTTTGTTTCTGCGATTAGGGCCAAAATAGTAGTGCCAGGTGCCATAGAAGCGTGTCAGGTGTCATAATGGTACGTACGGTGTCATTAAGGGGGGTGCCAGGTGTTATAAGTGTGTCAGGTGTCATAGGGGTACGTCAGGTGTCATAAAGTTGTGTCAGGTGTTATTAAAGGCGTGTCAGAGGTGTCATAAGGGTGAATATACAATGAAACCAGATATCACAATACCGGATATATGACACCAGGTACAAGATACCACGGGAGTACCAAATAGTGAGGGGTGAGTGAGTGACAGTGAAAGAGTGGGCGAGAGACAGTGAGGGTGAGTGAGTGACAGAGTGGGCGAGTGACAGTGAGGGTGAGTGACAGTGGCAGAGAGGGTAAGTGACAGGAGTGAAAGCAACAGTGAGGGTAAATGACAGTGATGGTGAGTGACAGTGAATGACAGTGACGGTGAGTGACAGGGGCAGTGAGGATGAATATAAGACGTAGCTGGCCCTCAAGTGGATCAAGATGGTCACTGTTGGAGGTCACGCAGGTGGCACCTCCCCCTCAAGTGCCACCAATACCCAGAGGCGCCTGACCTTGACCCTTAAATCCCCAACGTGCACCCCCTCCCTCAATCTGTCGTTGGCATGTAGTCAAAATACACACACACACACACACACACACACACACACACACACACACACACACACACACACACACACACACACACACACACACACTAAAGAATGCCATCTGCCACACAAATGTTAACAGAGAATGTTAACTAAGATATAAATTAACAGTTAACACGACATTCTACCTTACCAGATGCGGTGAAGGGTGATAAAGGAGGAAGGAGGTGGTGAGGGAAAGGGGTGAGGAGGTGAGGGTACCTGATGACTTTAATGGGGGGGTGGAGGAAGGGGCCTATTGAGGGGGTGGAGGAAGGTGGGGAACGTGGAGGTGGAAGGGAAAGATGGAAGTAGGAATGGGAGAGGGAAGAAGGAATGGGTGAGGGAAGAGAAAAGGGGAGAGGAAGAAGGAGCCTGGAAACAGGAAAGGGGAGATAGAAGAAGAGGAGAGAGGAAGAGGAAAGAGAGAATGAACGGGGAAGAAGGAAGGATGAAAGGAAAGAAGGAAAGGGGAGAAAGGAAGAAGGAAGGGAGGGAGGAGAGATGGAAGAGACACCAGGTAGAGACGCCAGAACCATAAAAGTCACCAGGAAAGAGAAACTGACAAACACAGCAACGAAGGAACAGTAAGGAACAGAGATAATAACAGGGTAGAAACACGACAATAACGAGGAGGAGATAATTATAGCTTTGGTGTGTCCCTGACGAAGGCTAAACGCTAAATAACACAGCAACAAAAGCTAAAACACTGGTAAATTCAATACTACAGCTCTCCATTTTAAAAACACAGCTAAAACTAACATAAACTAACACTAAACTATCATAAATTAGCTTCTACCACAGTTTCTCACTTAAAACACAGCTAAAACTAACATAAAATCTGCCCACAGCTCAAAACACAGCAAAGACTAATATACATTAGCTTCTTAACACAGCTATACACATTCACCAACAAATATAAAAAAAATAACAGTAAAAGCTAACACAGTAAAAAGCAAACACAGCTAAGCTCACTGCCACAGCTAAGCTCACTGCCACAACTAAGCTCACTACCACAGCTACACCTTAATCCAAATAGAAACATCAAAATACAAATATTATGTAAAATAGATTAGCTTTAGTGTATAGAACGACAGGTGCAATTAGCTCCTAGCTGTATAAAACCTCTAGTCTCTTCTAACTCTTTAATAGTTCAGGATGGTTCAGTGATAATGGGGTCTTGTCTTGTTAGGTTAGGTTAGGTTAGGTTAGGTAGGTAGGGGAGGTTAGGTTAGGGTTAGGTGGGGTAGTAGGTGAGGTGTAGGGGTGGGGTAGGGTAGGTGAGGGTAGGGTGAGGGTAGGGGTAGGGGTAGGGTAGGTGAGGGGTAGGGTGGTAGGGTAGGGTAGGGGTAGGGGTAGGTTAGGGTGGGTAGGTAGTAAGCAAGGTAAAGATAGGGAAGATTAAGGTAAGGTGAGAGAGAGAGAGAGAGAGAGAGAGAGAGAGGGGGGCCTCCTCCTCGCTCCACGGCTCTAATCTCGGCTGATAAATCGGACCAGATGTCAGTTGGGGATCAAGTCGGCTTTTATTGATCGGAAGTTGTTATTGTTGTCGGCGGAATACGGGTGGGTGGCCCCGAGCGGTATCTAGTGGCCCCGAGCGGTCTCTAGTGGTCCCGAGCGGTCTCTAGTGACCCCGAGCGGTCTCTAGTGACCCTGAGGGTCTCTAGTGGACCCTGAGCAGTCTCTAGTGGCCCCGAGCAGTCTCTAGTGGCCCTGGAGCAGTCTCTAGTGCCCCTGAGCGGTCTCTAGTGCCCGAGCAGTCCCTAGTGGCCCCGAGCGGTCTCTAGGCCCCGAGCGGTCTCCAGTGACCCGAGCGGTCTCTAGTGGCCCCTGAGCAGTCTCTAGTGGCTGAGCGGTCTCTAGTGGCCCTGAGCGGTCTCTAGTCCCGAGCAGTCTCTAGTGGCCCTGAGCAGTCTCTAGTGGCCCCGAGCGGTCTCTAGTGGCCCCGAGCAGTCTCTAGTGGCCCCGAGCGGTCTCTAGTGGCCCCTGAGCAGTCTCTAGTGGCCCCTGAGCAGTCTCTAGTGGCCGGAGTCTCTCAGTGCCCTGAGCAGTCTCTAGTGGCCCCTGAGTGCCTCTAGTGGCCCTGAGCGGTCCCCTAGTGGCCCCGAGCGGCTCCTCTAGTGGCCCCTGAGCGGTCTCTAGTGGCCCCTGAGCAGTAGTGGCCCCTGAGCGGTCTCTAGTGGCCCTGAGCGGTCTCTAGTGCCCGAGCGGCTCCTAGTGGCTCCCCGAGCGGCTCTAGTGGCCCTGAGCGGCTCCCTAGTGGCCCTGAGGTCCCCTAGTGGCCCGAAGAGGCCCTAGTGTCCGTGGGTCTCTATCGCATAAGAACCTACACACACCCATCTACACCCACGGTCATACAACACACCCCATCTACACCCAGGGTCGTACAATACACCCAACCACACCCTAACTACACCCAGGGTCGTACAATACACCAACTACACCCAGAGTCGTAATACACCAACTACACCCTAACCACACCCAGGGTCAGCTCATCTAGGGGGGGGTGACTGCAGCCTCTAATTCACTAGTAATAGAATTTATCCATATACGGGGAGGGGAAGGGGAGGAGGAGAGGGGGAGAGAGGGGAGGAGGAAAGGAGAGGGGAGAAGAGAGAGGGGAGGAGAGAGGGGGGAAGAGAGAGGAGAGAGAGAGAGAGAGAGGGAGGAGTGGTGTGTGTAGGAGGAGGGGAGAGAAAAGGAGGAGCAAACGAAAAGACAATAAAGAGAGAGAGAGAGAGAGAGAGAGAGAGAGAGAGAGAGAGAGAGAGAGAGAGAGAGAGAGAGAGAGAGAGAGAGAGAGAGAGAGAGAGAGAGAGAGACTTTCACCCATATTTGAGCATAATCCTCCTCCCTCCCTCCCTCCCCCTGATACTGAAGACTGCAGAATAAGGTAACCCACTACCTCCTCATGGTCGATCATCCTCTCTTTATTTACACAATTTTCACCCCTCGTGTTAATGTGTTCTTATGGCTTATGACCCCGACCCCTTTATGATGCGCTTTCCCTTCACGAGATACAATGATACAATGGTGATAATACAATGGTAATACGACACAGTAATACAATGAAAATGCAGTAATACAACATAGTAATACAACACAAAAATACAATGATAAATACACCACAAAAATACAATGACCAAATACAACACTACAATGCTACACAAAATACAATAAGATAACGATACAAATAATACAATACAATGATGCAATTAACCTCTACAAAAATACAGTATGGCGAAAGTATATTAAACCGAATTAAAACCAAAAACACCTTGACGGATCTTCTGTAAACAGGTGAATATAAACCAGTTTTATTTATCAACTCCAGGTGTTTTATGGTCGGGTTTATGTGAGGTAAATCA